TGAAATCGGGACGCTTAGAATAACACAAACTAAGCTATTGGGCAGAAACTTCTAAAAATGGTCACATTTTCCAGTTAGCATCACAATTATATGAATATAAATGGGTTAGGCTCTCGGACTCGCAACCGTAAGGTCGTGGGTTCGAATCCCGTCAAGGGCCCGACGTTGTGTCCTTGGGAAAGGCACTTTACACGAATTTTCCTCACTTCACCCAGGTGGGAATGGGTACCCGGCTATAGACAGCGGAAGATCTTGTCAGTTTGTTAGTGTTTGGGCGCTTAATCGGCTGCTCGCACTGTATGCTTCCCGGGAAGCTGAGAATGTTTCGGAGTGTACTATGGTCTGCTGGGGTAATAATATAGTATAAAGCGCATAGAGCCTGCTGTTGAGCGGGGATATGCGCTATACAAATGCTATCTATTATTATTATTATTATTAGTATGGAAAGTAGATTCTCGATTTTTTAAAAACATTTTTTTGGCTGCACTCCTGAAGGAAATGTTAAGATTCTTCTTCAACCAAGAGAACTTTTTTCTTTAGATGACTTTCTGAAGGAATAGACAGTAGATCTACTCTAGATCTAGTATATTTTTAAAAAACTGGTTGGTGCAATATAAAATTCAGAAATTATTGAGAAACACTTGTAACTGTAGATACCTTTACCTTCTTTTCTCAATAACCACCTCGGAAAGATATGTTATTGTTGGATCAGCTTTTCTACTTAGGTCTGTTTTTGTTTGTTTTTGTAAAGTGTTTTACGGCGCTCGCAACTGCATAAGGTCATATTATGAGCGCGCGGACACACCTAATATTTTCAGTTGGTAGGAAATTTTGAATTTTGCCCGGGTGGCGGCCGAAGCCTACTCTTATCGATTTTAGACCACCAAGAGATCTTTAACGTGCGAAACTTGCACACGGGCCCTCCGAGATTTTTCACCCTTTTCCGAGAAGGCTAGGTGTAGATCTTTCCTACTAGAAGATCAGGGGTGTGGCAGAAAGACAGCAGTAAGAAGAAGCGAAGGAGTAGCAGTAGAAAGGCTGAAGAAAGAATAAGGAGCCCAGAGGAAGGGGCAAAGGAGGTGAGGGGGTGGGGGCAGAAAGAGGAGACGAAAGCAGACGACAGAACATTGCTAGAGAGCAGGAAATGAGGTGAAAGGAGACAAATTTAGAGAAGACATTTTTCGGTCGCTACCCGGATTCGAACCCG